GATCAGGCACAGTTATGAGCGTCACATGAATCAGCCCATTTACAATTCTACTGTGATTTGAACGAGAAATGTCCCACTTTGGGAATGGCCTAAAGACACTACAGTCAGTGACACCGCCCCGGGGGGCTGATATCACAATATGTATTCATGTTTTCCCACGTTTCTGTTCTGGTACATCATTCTCTGTGACCCTTCTCCACTTTCCACGTGGCTTTCTCCTTGATCTCTTGTTCAGAATGCAGGCAAAAAACATCACGGAAAGAGAAGACAGGAGTAGGGCTTACTTAATTTGTATACGTGTACGTAAAATATATATATATGTGTGTGTGTGTGTGTGTGTGTGTGTGTGAGTGTGAGTGTGTATGTGTGTGTGTGTGTGTGTGTGTGTGTGTGTGTGCGTGTGTGGCTAGCATTTCCTTCCAGCAACTTTGTATTCTGGGCTTTTCTACCCGAATAATCAATGAATACACAGGGCCTACTCTATAGCCTTTATGTGTCAACAGTTTGCATCGAAATAATCACACCTGTTGCAGACATCTTTTAGTTTTAAATTTAATAACTTTTAATAAGAGTTTTACAGCATTTGCAACACAATATAAGATCATATGTGAAGATTAAAGGTGTGCAAGAGAATATCAAACACAAAAAAGAAGTAGGAGAGATAAGAATAATTACAATAGATGAAGATGTTTGATAGGAAAGAAGGAGCAATCCACACAAGACGACCAACGCAGAAATCTTTGTTTCAGTTATAATTCACCAACTGTTCTAATGAAAAGCGGTAGCAGGGGCATGAGAAGAAAAAAAAAGAACAAAATCTGTGGCATTTTTTTTATTGTGTTAAAAAGGGAGATTGGACTGCAGAGTAAAGAGTAGAAAAAACCCAAGGAATTGGAAATCATTTCCAGTTATTAACAAATTTTATGTTCAACGCCTTCATTGTAAAGAAAGTCTACCATACATGAATGTATTTCTTTTTCACTGATCCTTCACTCTCAGTCTCCCACCCCTTTTGCCTTCAAATCATTTAACAAAACTTGATGTTTAAAATCTAAACAAATTAAACATCATGGAAAATATAACAATATAAAAAAGAAATCTTTTGTGCCCTACAAAGATGAAGAAGGACCGACCATCCTGTATTATGACATGATCGTTACTTTATTTAGAATCTAAAACATGAAGCATAGTGGCGGTACGTGTAATTAAAAACAACCAAACCCTGACATTTACACAAATCAACATTTCATCCATGTTCAAGTAGGCCTATGTAAAAAAATTAGCTTTCATCACATCATCCTCACACACACATACACACAAACACACACAAAAACTAACATAAACAGTTGATGGGTCATTACATGTAATTTTATGCAGCTCATTTCCAAATGAACTACATCACTTCAACAGCAAAAATACGGTTCTAAGAAGAGTAATTTTTTCCAGGTTTTGTACAAATGTAATCTTCCGCTACAATATAATATATATATAACAATGATCATCTTTCCATTATATAACCTTTCCTCTGCTTGTCAAATGTGAAGACAAAGCACTGGTGGTATGTGATGAGTTTTTAATGTTCCTATCAACACTATTAGATTATTTATTTTAAAATTTAAGAGAAAGGACCTTAGATAGAATTTTACATCTGTCTCCGATAAGACCGAGCCAAATGGGTTGAGAGCTCTGAAAGCTCCACGAAATGACCAGTGTTAAAAAATGCTCAGCCGGGTATCCAAACCAGAGCCATGTGCTCTGTAGTCCAGCATGATAGTTGATACAGACAGATCTAACGGAGCGTTTGCAGAGTACTGAGTCCAGAGACAAATATAAGTAAGACAGAAAATAATGGAAGAACAGCATCCTCGGGTATCGGTCTAATGCATACCCATTTTAACATTGTCAGGATAGATAAAAAGTCGCATCTTACAAGAGAGTAACAAACATAAAAAAGAAGGAAGGGAGATAAGGACGATAGATGTTTGATGGGAAAGAAGAAGCAAACCACACCAGAGCACCTGCCAACCACCCACACCAGTTTGGGATTTCAATCTGCATGAAGGTACAGTTTGCCAAGTAACAAACATTCCTCCTATGATGCTTGTGCATTATAAATTAGAGTAAATAAAACAGAAGCACGTCAACTCAATAACAACAGTTTAGTCCTGGAAAAAAGAAAGACAGACGGACAGAAACAATACAGAAACAGTAATTTATAAAGAATCAAACGTCAAATTCAAACACTCAATCCTCCCATGACACTAGAGATTTTGGATATTCCATGAGCTATTTGTGACTCAACAAAACATCAACAGTAGGTGTTGGCGGGTGCTCTGGTGTGGTTTGCTCCTTCTTTCCTATCAAGCACCTATTGTCCTTGATCTCTCCTCCATTTTTTACATTTTTTGGGAAGGTATCTGTTACTGTCTTGTAATCTCTAAATCTTCGGCACTTACATAAACTAACAGTGTTCCAAATGTGGTAAAACACTCACTAACCCCCCCCCCCCCCCCCACAACAAGCAAAACATCAACTATGCTTAAAATACATAAATCATATATTTTTGCACTCTTATTTTAAAAACATGAACATCACCTACGTCTGTTCCTGTCATGAGATCTGTCTCTTCCCCCATCGTAATCTCTATCATCATCTCTCCCTCTGTCTCTTCCCCGATCGTATTCTCTATCATCATCTCTCCCTTTGTCTCTTCCTCTAGACGAGCTTCCATGCCGATCACGATCATCTTCTCTCCTTCCTCTGTCCCTGTCAGAATCTTCAGACTTTTGCTTTTCTCTCTGTCTATCAGGAAACCGTTCCCTCGACCTATCGGTATCACGACCTCTCTGTCTATCTTGGTGTCCGTCGTTTTCTCTGTCCCGGTCAAACCTGGAATGCTGCTCTCTCCTGTCGCCATCCCTTCTCCTTTCCTTTTCTGACTTTCCATTATATCCTTTCCTCTGTGGCGAGTCATCTTCATCACCAGAAGGACTGTGAGGTGACCTGCGTCGATCTCTAGAACTGCTGCTTGGGAAATCTTTACCTGGAAATCTTCTTCTATCTTCATTTTTCATTTGACGATCGCCTCGGCCATCAAGCGCCGGGTAGTTTCTGTCGTACTGGACACGTGAATTGTTGAGAGCCATGTCATAGCCAGCATCATGCCTCTCCCGTTTGATTTCAATGTCTTCAAGAACCTGGGCCTTACTTTCTCCATGTTCCGATTCAGATTCACTGTTATCACTTGAAGATGCTTTCTTCTTTTTCTTTTTTTTCTTTTCCTTCTTTGACTTTTTCTTTTCTGGAAATAAAAAGAGTATTTTTAAAAATCAGTCGTAAAATACAATGCAAACCATTGTAATTTTTAATCTCAGTCCCTACTTTTCTAAAAACAAAAATGGGATGGGATGGGATCAAAGTTGCCTTTCTTTCTTTCAAAGCCATACAGTCCATGTCGGCTTTAAGCACGGCGGCATAAAGCACGTTTCGGACTCAAGCACGCTAAATGGCTCTTACAAAATTTTTGCTATATAAATCACACGCCTTTAAGCACGGTAACTTCGGCTTCACGCACGCTTCATTTACAAGACAGTCAAAGTCAGTCAATACTTTCGTGAGGACCTATCGAAGTTTGAACACAGTCTACACAGCAGCAGTGGAGTGTGTTTAGAGAAACACAAAGGGAAAGAACGCAAGTGATGGAGACACACACTCACACGGGCGGATAGGAAGGCAGAGAGATGCAAAGAGCCGCTTGCGTGGACACAGGATCTAGCCTATAGCAAATCTACACACAGACGAAAACAATACAGAGAGAGTCGGGGAGAAGAGAAAGGAAGGCTGGCTGCGATTTCACCTTTGACCTTTGCTATCCATTAATCCTGACTGTGCATCACACGCCAGGAGGAATGAACGCGGGGATATGAATGTGGCAGAGCGGGCAGTGTGCAGGCCTAGTGTGCTGTATCGTGGCTGGCCGTCTAAATTAAGTTTTCCTTTCCCATTCGACCACAAAACAAAAACAAACAAGCAAACTAAAACTACCATGGCGGGTAAAAATAACAGTGCACACTTTTGTGGGACCGCTATAGGCCTACTTACAAACAAAGGGAAGTATAGCACGGGAAATTTTCTAGATGAAAATCTCTAGATTATGTCTACTTCGCACTCAAGCACGCTTTGGCATTAAGCACGCTTAAGCTTTCTCCCGATGACCGTGCTTAAAGCCGGCATGGACTGTATTAACAAACAGAAAAATAAGCTAAATATACATTACTTTCAAAAGGTATCTAGAGAAGACACGATAACAGATACTACGTTGGGTTTGTGTAAACGCACGCTTCGGAGCCCTCCCAAGCACTGTGCAATGAGCGTCTCTTTCTCTCTCTCGCCTGAGTTACAATTGATTTTTTTGCAGGTCTTCCAGGTACTGTATATTGTACATGCTTGTTATTAGAAAAAACAAACCCACAGCAACCAGTGTAGGAGCCAGTGAACTTACGAAACAAACGCTATGACAACTTGGAGGCTCTCCAACAATCTGTTGCATTAGTAAAGACATTCGACATCCCCCCGTGAAAGAGCAAAGGAGAAAGGTGTGTACGTGTTTGGGAAAGGAGTGGGGGTGGGGGGTTGGTTGTTACAACGATTGATTACTAGTACCTTTTTTCATTTGCTTAGCTTTTTCCATCACTTCCTCTTCCTCTTCACCTTCAGACGACTCTTGTATTTTTGGAGCACATCCCTCTTCTCGCATTTTCAAAACAAGCTCATCATCATTCTTGTGGTCTTTTGGTACTTTATATTCTTTCACATGGTCCACTCTGATTGTTCGACCCAAAATCTGCAAAAGAATAAACAGTAATTTTCCAAAGTCATGGGAAAAACTAGAATATTTTACAAAAGTGAAAATAAAAATCATCTATCAGCTTTCAATGATTAAAAAGAAATACAGTTAAACACGGGTAACTCGAATTCATTTGAGATAGGAAATAGTGTTCGAGATAAATCTGTAATTCGTTATTCATGAAAGCCCCAAATACAAAAAAATAGAGAAAAAATCAAGGGAGGTAAAAAGAACATAAAAACAATTAACGTGGTTAGCTCCCTAGACAGGGCTGAGAATGGCATACCACAAAATAGCTAAATCTGGTTATTTTGGAAGGGTTTGAGGTCTTATTTAATACTCTAATTTTAGAGAAAATTACTAATAACTACTCAAATACTGTCAAAAAGAAAATAAACCATTACTAATACTATACATTCCTCTCGAAAGAATATCAACAGTGCGCTTCGCTATGATGAAGAACAAGCAGACAAAACAAAAAAAAAAAAAAAGGCTACAGGGTTGTGATACAGCGTGGGCCAAAGTCACCACAGTTCTCCACGTAACTACCGCTACTCGATTGTCACAGTGGAATGCAATTCTACCAGGAATGAAGAAGAATAAAACGTACTCGATTGAATGGTATCGGCCCACATATGGTTGTTGCGCACGCACCTCGGTCTCGTCCAGCGAGCAGTTAAAAATCTTCAAAAATTACTTTCGTCTTTAATTCGATTCCGTTTAAAAAAATTCTTACTACAATATTATTATAATATGAAACTCGGAAAAAAGGCGAAGGAGGCGTTCGTATGAGCGAAATTCCGCCTTGAGGTGGACAATTCTCAGTCCTGCTAGATGAACGTGTTGACGGTGGGTTTTTTTTTATAGTAGAGGGTTTTACTGCGCTCACAACAGCATAAGGTCATATGAGCGCCAAGTGGTGGGAGTCAACAGAGAAGTCTTTACAGGGAATCAGACTAAGACTGCTCACCTCTCTAGCTTCAACAGCACAAGGTCTGCTTCGACTATCAAGGCACCCCAAAATAGCAGGTCACCAGAGAGTGACAAACATACAAAAGAAGTAGAGGAAAATGGCGATATTTAAGGATCAGGAAAGAAAAAGCAGCAGTTCCCTGTTGTAGATCAGGCACAGTTATGAGCGTGACATGAGTCAGCCCATTTACAATTCTACTGTGCTTGAACGAGAAATGTCCCCCCTTTGGGAATGGCCTAAACTAAAGACACTTCCATCAGTGGCACCACCCCCGGGGGGTTGTTGACGGTGTGAAAGCAAGAAGATGAATGAAAGTGGAAAGCAAAAAATCTCACATGTGCTCAGCCAACTCCTATGTTATTCCTTTTCTCTCATTTCATTGGCTTACAGAAAGTACACCTCTTGCTTTCCACACCGCATGCGGCCCACAGCATGATAGCAGGCAAGGCGAGCCAGTCATGTGGTGCGGTTAGCATCACTCCCCAACTCCCCCTTCCCTGTCCCCCCTTCCTCCAGCCTCTCGTGGTGAGACAAGGACCAGATTTTGGCTGTAACAACACATGAAACACAAAAACCGCACTATCCGCGGCCAGAAAGGCTGTAAAGCCGTGTCTTTAGATTAGAATGCGAAGTGGGTTTGTTCCAGATTTGAGTGTTGAGTGTTCCAAGTGTTCATGAACTCCGTGAAGTCAATGCAAAGAAAACACAGGGACTGAAATGGGACCAAGCATTATATTATGTTCAAGTTACCCGAGAATTCATGATTTTTTTAGTTTGAGATTCGTGGACTCTACTGTAACACTTAATTTCTCACTATATCTAAATCTTACTTTTCTGAAAACTCTTTCAGGGTGATCTTAATTTCAATCACTCAATCAGAATGAACCGAAGATTAAAATTTTCAACTCTAGTTCTACAATCATTTCTAGAATACTCTTTGTTGGTAAAGTAAAAAAAAAAATTCAAGATATCAGCCTAGCTTCCTTCTACTCACGATTGTTATTATCCACTTAGCTGATGTGATAGTATTCTATTCTATTTTTCATAAAATATAAAGTTACCTATTTTATCTTTCAATATCTTAAAAACTGAGGTGGAAAAAACCCCCAAAGGCACCTCATTGTCGCACACAGGAGGGATGAGCTTGTTTCCTGAAGCAGGAGAAATGTTTATCGAGTATCTTGGGTCTTTCTCTTGAGATGTCGTATCCCTCTCAGCCTGGGTTGGTTGACCCTAACAGGCACGGTCGAAAGCCTGCCTTCTATGATCTACATTGTCGATGCGCGGGGGTGTAAATATGCCTACATTAAAAAAAGTAAAAGGAAAAAAAAAAGAAAAGAAAACTGAAACACAATAAAACCTTTATCCCATTGAGGTTATCCACTGATAAAACTGTGCTTCTTTGGTCTTCATAGCAGAGGAATGCAAATCCCTTAGACTTTCCAGATTTGTGATCACGAACAAGGTTGAAGTTCACCACTTCTCCATACCTGATGAAAGAGAAACAAGAAAAAGAAAGAAACATGTTAATACATTCTCATGAGCAATCTCCTGTGACAATATCACAATTACAATACATAATTTAACCAAAAATTATTATACTTAAAAAAAAAAAAAAATAGTTGAGGGTTTTACGGCGCTCGCAACTGCATAAGGTCATATGAGCACCAAGGGGTGGGTGTCAACAGGGAAGTTTTTACACGAAATCAGACTTAGACTGCTCACCTCTCTAGCTTCAACAGCATAAGGTCTGCTTCGACTATCAAGGCACCCCAAAAATAGCAGGTCACAAGAGAGTGACAAACACATACAAAAGAAGTAGAGAAAAATGACAATAGTAAAGATCAGGAAAGAAAAGGCAGCAGTTCCCTGTTGTAGATCAGGCACAGTTATGAGCGTAACATGAGTCAGCCCATTTACAATTCTACTGTGCTTGAACGAGAAATGTCCCCCCCCCCTTATGCTTTGGGAATGGCCTAAAGACACTTCAGTCAGTGGCACTGCCCCGGGGGGTATTACTATACTTTATACTTTCAACCTTGGGACGAGCAAGAAGAAGGCAGTATAGCAGGGCTGACAATATTTTATTACAGGGTTTTTAATGCTGTCCAGTGGTTAAAAAATACTTTAACTGCCCAACATCAATGATTTAATAAAGGATAACATTATATTTGGAATGGCCTTCAGGTACCCTGAATGCTACGATCGCTAGTTTGCAGAGCTTGTGGGAGAAAGGGAGATAACTGCTGAGTGAGTGAGCGTTGTGTGTTGTGTAACTTTGGCAACCAGTTCGCTGGCAGTATTGTGGGGCACATAAATGAGCACAGTAGTTTATATTAGTCCAACCCCACAAATTACAAACTATAAAGCTACAGAGAAAACAAGACAGATTACATACTGTGAAAAAACACAAATGATATCTCCTTCCGACAGATCATAAGGAAGACCACCAATGAAGAGCCAAGCACTGTCCTTGTATTCGTCATGCCACGACTTTTTCCCAATCACTCCCAGCTCAAGCTCCCTCTCATTGAGCTTCTGAACATTTCTTATATTTCTGGAATAAAATACAAAGAAAAATTATGAACAGGCAAACCGGCATGTACATAAAATATACAATCAAAATTCTAAGACTACCACCTATTGTTAACAAGAAAAGTCAAGTGGCCATATAGTAGATAGAAAGGCCTACAGTACAGTTATAAATATTATAAAAATACCCAAGGGAAAAAATGGGAAGTGGTTGTATGAACAGGTGATTGTCTTACAGATGGCCGTTAGAACAGGTTTGTATATATGTTTACTTTTTGTGCTCGTATGAATGGAGAATACTAGGTGTGAACTCAATAAAAACTATAAACAACAGTATTATAAAAAAACTGGTACCTTGATCCTAACTGAATGGATACAAAATCCTATAGTACTGATAAGAACCATTACAAAATACTAAATTCTAGGTCAATAAGATTTCAGTAGGTTACAGGCGAATGTAAGTTCAGATATGGAGAGGGTGTGGGGACTTGAAGAAGAATTCCGGTTGGTACTTTTAACTAACGGTTTGGAGACAAACATTATCATATTTTTATTTAATAAGCACTCCAATGCCGAGCTCTATTTCAATACACATTTTTACCAAAAAAGTGATTCAAAATTGACCAAATACAGAAAAAAACTTCAGGCTACCACAGTCAAAAATAAAAACTGTAAATTTCTACTTTTAGACTCGCACGCAGATGCACTGTTTCGAGGGCTAAACAGCCATCATTTTTGCTGCAGAACACACATATATATTTATATGGCATATATGGTCACTAAAACCCTTGCAAATCAATTGTTTTCAAGAAGTATCAAATCAATCCTAATTGCCAAAACATCAAATTATGGTGAAAAGTAGGGAGGCATGCCCCCTGAACCCCCCCCCCCCAATTTCTTTTTAGGTCAGGGGGGCCCCTGAAACCCCCCATTGTTAAAAACAAGTCAAATAGTGCTACACCACAGGTCAAATTCTAATACAGTTCGTATAAAAATATCCACAATCTCATTTATAAACGAATAGATTGCAGTGGATATTAAGTAAAAAATTTGTGTAAAGCAGATAAAAATGAACAAGAAAAGTGCTTTAGAATTAATTAGATATTAAGCATGAGACAGGTCCGCAAGTAAAAAAAATACCATGGATAAAATCTGCCACCCCTTCAAAGTAAGTCAGACCACTTTCATTCTCAATTCAAATTCCCCCCCACTTATTTATTGGGGGGGAGGCCACCAGCCTGGGGGAATCTCTTCTCATATAGGCCCCCCATATTTCATTCCCCCCCCCCTCAACATCCCCCAACCACACCCCCCCCCGGGTGCCAATAATCTGGTCATTATTCCCTCGTCCCCTGGGTTTCGGACTTATGGTCCCCAATAAGCGGAAGGGGAGAAGCGGGTAGGTTATCTATTTTTTTAAAATTGGGGGTGGGGGGGTGGGGGGGGGGGGGAGTGTGGTGTTGTTTGTTGTTTTCTTAACAATTAGATCTATTTTATTCTTTAATACTTTAATTCAGTTTGAATAGATTTAGTTAGTTATGCATTGTTGGAGTTGCAATTAGATTATATTTACTGAGTACTTTTTCAACTGTCTAAATAACAGTTGGTGGCTTGGAGACAAAAAAGTGTGCATGGGGGGGGCGGGAGGGAGGGAGATTGTTTTATTTATTTTGTCGTATAAAATTTTACTTGATTGTTAGTTTTTATTAGTTACTAGACCTAGATCTATCTGCTTTCTATTTTGTTATTCTTGTAGGTCTTCTTAAGAAGCATGTTGTGTGTGTGTGTGCGTAGGGGGGGGGGTTAGTTCGTCTAGTATCAGTATGGTCATTGTGGGATTGACTTTTTGATTACACTAATTTAGAGTTGGAACATAGGGAGATGAAATATACATTCCTTAGATCGCCTTCGTTCAAGTTAGATTAGACTAGAAGTAGAAGAAGAAAAAACAATGGCAAACAGATGCTGATGGTATGACAATGAAAACATCGCCAAGTTTCAGCAAGGAGCCAGTGCCCATCGTATCAAAGGATAGGATCCAACCTTAAACGGGGGGTCCAAATATTAAAAAATAAAAAAAATACAGAAGCCGGAAAGAGGGGGAGGTGATAGGGGGGTAGAAAAACGGGCGCTTTTTCGGTAGTTACCACCTCGCAATTGTTATTCGACGGTTTTGGCTCCAAGTGTAGGGGGGTTTCAGGGGGGCTTGCCCTAATAAAAAAAATATGAAGGGGGGTTTCAGGGGGCAGGCCTCCATGAATTTTACCAAAATAAGCATGTATGTGTGTGTGTAAAAACTTTTGCTCCTAATTTTCACTCTTGACTTTGTTGTTAGCTTGGCAATCATGTATTGTATATTATCATCCCGTTGCCTTTATTACAATTATATTTTGAAAATTTGATGTTTTACAGTTGTTAGGTTTGATATCTACTTTTCGCTTGCCGCGCATCAAACGTAGGCCTATTGATCTAGATGTAGATCTAGATCTAGGGATAAAATAAGGGGGGGGGGGGAACTATCGAAAAAGCACCGAAAAAGGACCAGATTATTGTCACCCTGGGGCCGGGGGCAAAATAATAACTTCGGTAGCCTCGGCACCAATTCAATATATAGAGATTCTATATAGACTCTATATCTTTTGTAGGTCTACTGTCAGTAAAAAAGCCTTACGTCAAAGGGTTCATCTTCAAGTCTAACAAGTAGAGAAGTTGATAGTTGAAGTCAGTTGATGTTGACTCGGGACCGGGGGAAAAACTCAGCAAGAACAATTAAAATTTGTTACACTTGGTCTTGTAATTGTACGTGCACTGCGATTGTTAACATGCTTCTCGACTCGGACAGACCAGAGTTTTGAAGCAATTCGTTGAATGACGATCATACACTACAAGGTGCACTTTAAGAGAGACAGGCTAGTTGATTTGTCGTGTTACATCCCCTGTAGCATCAGATCCTTGTTACTAGATCTAGATCTAGATTCTATAAGAGACTATAAGTATACATGAGACGTGAGGCCATAAAATTTAAATAAAACATTGGATCGTTGATATCACGGCATCAGTCGAGTTTTCGTTTTATATACGATGGGAGTGACTGCCCCTGCGACCTTGATGGCGTAGTTGAGTCAATGTTTCGAATTTTTCTTTAACCTTATTGTCGTGTAAAATAGAAAACATAAAAGACCAGACCATATTTTTACGATTCTGCCTGGCCTTGGTTGTCCCCCAAACATGGCGAATTTAGCATTTCGTACCGGTCGCCTTGCCGAAAGATTGGCTTTCAAACAAGCATCCAGAGTGAGTATGAATTCTAAAAGCATGCTACAAAATACAAAATTGATTATAGTTTGTGATATTATAGGTTTTGATTGATCTTTATGTCGGGTACGAATTGACGATAGTTCAGACGTTTGCCACACAATCTGGTCTTGTCAGAGACGATCTTGCTCAAGTTTCCTTCAGTCTGTCAGAGACATAAAAGGAGTCCTAAGTCCAATTAAAAATACTCTCATCAGACAAAACTCTTTTGTGGTCCCGTAAATATGTAGCCTAAGCAGCAATCAATACCACATTGCTTTCAGAAATGGCATGACATTAACACTTTGTACGAAGAAGCCAACCCTTCAGCCAGCAGAGGCAGAGTCAGAGGCATCAGTCATCAATTCAATGGAATCATGTGTGTGTGTAAAATCTTTTGCTCCTAATTTTCACTCTTGACTTTGTTGTTAGCTTGGCAATCATGTATTGTATATTATCATCCCGTTGCCTTTATTAGAATTATATTTTGAAACTGTCTTTTTTTAGTTCTTATTTTATTTACGAAGTGGCTAGCCGTGCTTAAGACTGCCAGTTTAGCTGTACTTAGATCTAGGTTTGGCCCTATCGACTCAAGCCTGTTAAGTACACAGGTCTCCTTAGATCTAGATCTAGATCTATTAATTATTCAGATTCAAATACATGCAAGTCAGTAAGGCACCTTTTGGTTTTGTCTGAAATACAAATACTTTAGGCATTGCAAACTAAAAATTTCATTTACAATTCAGCCTCAGCCATCAATATTAAGTACGGCTAGCCTGACAGTCTAGCCGTCATTAAGTACAGCTAGCCTCTTCCTTTTATTTATGCATGCCTGTGGATATATATATATATATATATATATATATATATATATATATATATATATATATATATATATATATATATATATATATATGTGTGTTTAGCTAGATCCTAGAGTAGTTCCAGGATGTTCTAAATGGCCACCTATGGTGAGAATGTCAAGCGCCATTGCCGATCAGCGCGATCTTAAATGTCACAGAACCATATGACGATGCACAGAAAGCGCGGCCATCTCGAGATGGGTGTGACGCACCATCACTCACAAACAAACGATTTTGCAAAGTTCACGAACAATACTCAGCAGAATTTATTATCATTAAAATTTCAAAAATAAAAAAAACAAGGTTCAAGAGGACGCAAGTATTACTTGCCCATACAGCCTTTCTCTTTTGACTTTTTGCATAAATTTCGTTTCTAAGTAATCTAAGTGCTTTGCTTTCCCCTTTCATTCAGGGTTGCCACATTATTTTGCGGTCTCCTGCCAAACCAACGTTCAAAAACTGCCAAATGCATTAAAAAAATGCCAATATGCAGTCAAAATATTAGACAAGTGACACTTGCGTCCTCTTGATTCTTTTTTGTTTTAAATCTCTCTCTCTTTCCCTTTTTAACTCCCAGTGGAGCAGAGGCCATCAACAACATTACTCCAGCGAAGCCTGTCCTGAGCATCCTTTTCTATTTGTTTCCATGATGGCCCCGCTTTTTCAATTTCCGACAAGTACCGCTCGCCTCCATGTCATCTTTGGTCTTCCCTTCTTACGCTTTCCTTGTGGGTTCCACATTAAAGCCTCCCTTATGATGCTTGTCGGGGGTCTCCTCAGGGTGTGTCCAATCCATTTCCATTTCTTCACCTGAATATCTTCCTTTACTGGCCTTTGATTTTTCTCTCCCACAGTCGAGCATTAGTGACTCGTTCGTACCACTTGATCCCCACTATCCTTCGTAGGCATCCATTTACGAAGCTCTGAGGTTTCTTTGCAGCTGATACATATATCATATATATTTTAAATATTTAAAATTAATCATAATAAGTTCTGTGGAGTTTTATTTGTGAACTTTGCAAAATCGTTTGTTTGTGTGTATGTATGTGTGTGCGTGTGTGTCTATGTTGTTTTAGCGTCTGCATGTGTGGTATGAAGTGACTTTTATCTATCTTGGGTTATACAAAAACCTCTCTCTCTCTCTCTCTCTCTCTCTCTCTCTCTCTCTCTCTCTCTCTCTCTCTCTCTCTCTCTCTCTCTCTCTCTCTCTCTCTCTCTCTCTCTCTCCCTCTCTCTCTCACTCTCGCCTCTATGTGTGTATATATATATAATAATAATATGTTGTATGTGTTTGTGTGTGCTTGTGTATGTTTCCAAGCGATAGACAGATGGCGCAATTCTTGCTTGCTTTGCACAATCTTAAGATCGCGCAGCTCTTTTCATTTTCCTAAATAATCCGTAGATGGCTCGCCCATCTCGAGATGGCCGCGCTTTCTGCGGATCGTCATATATGGTTCTGTGCCATCTTAAGATCGCGCTGATCGGCAAATGGCGCTTGACAAGAATAGCGCAGGCGAGTCCTTTGGCTATTCTCACCCGGTGTGCATTCACTGTGTTATAGCCTAGGCCAACCAGTGTAGCGTTCACCCTGAGCCACAAAATTCTACACTGTGACAACAGAATTGTAGAATTCTGTGCCTGGAACCTGGAACAAACGTTCAATTACTACTGTTAGCCTAAAAGCGTGCAATTTTGTCTGTGGGCAGTGGAGAGAGAGAAAGAGAGAGAGAGGAGTAGGCCTTGCGCGAAAACTTCCGGGCTAAACAAAATTAAATGGCGACCCACCTAGTTCGGCTCGATTCGAAAAGTGAAATAGCCATAGCATCTTTGTAGACGATCAAAACTTGTGCTAAAACGTCATTTTTTCTTGGCTTTTATCAATTTGATCATCCACACCGATAGACAGTATTCCGAAATGAGGAAAAATAGGTCTTTTTTCACACTGGGTGAGAATAAGCAACGCTGGCAAGTCTCACCCGGGGTGAGAGGTCGATTGTATTTTATTTTCCCTCAGGGTGAGGATAGCCACTTCCGTTCTAAATTGTTCAACTAATTTTAAAGTAATTTTTAGTATTTAGGCTACTGTAGATGTACGACTACTAAGCTGTATACTCTGAACTGTTAGTATTTGCTGTCCCTGTCTGATTTTTTTCTCTGTATTTTTCGTAGATTTAGGGTGCATTCTAACTCTTTCGTCTAAGGAGTCGCCTGGAAAAATATTTAAACCGAAATATTTTCAAGTAATAGAAATCTAGATTCTAGATCTAGATCTTGATCTAATAATAATTTTAATCTTCTAACACATCACCAGATCCAGATATTGTTTCAGAAGTGAGTTTTTCTGTTTACTTTATTTATTCTATTTCTCAAAGAATGTAATTATAATCCGCTCAATGAAATTGTGGTGTGGATTTGTTAAAAAAAAGATTGAGGACACCATTTTGTTATATCTACAATCTACAATTAAACATGACTAAGATTTACTGCCCATTTTTTAGGAGGAAAAGGTGTTCCAAAGATAGGGAGGAAAGTGGATGTTGGGTATTTTTTTTGTTCATTTATTGTGTAATGTTTCGCGCGAGAGAGATTTGTTGCATTTTGTCTTGGACAGATTTTTAAATCTAAATAACACGGCGGTCGCAGTTACCTTGGACAAGTGGTTGTCTTTGCCAGTATAGAAAAAAATGCCAGAGAGTGTATGGGAAGCAGACTTTGTTTGCACAGTTGAATGTCTTGGACTGCTACCATTTGCCTTTGATTTAGGATCTTTTGTGCTTTGACCTGTCAATAACAGTTTATGGGCATCCTGCATTTTTATTTGTAGCAAAAGTTTTCAGTGCCAGGTCATCAGTCTGCGTGTTACAGTTTTTCCATCATGAGACTTATCTGACCTTTTTTTCCATTGCTATTTTTAAATGCTAATTTTGTCACAGGTGCTGGCAGCATTCAGCAATGGGTTGCTTCCACAACAAAATGCTGTACAGAACCAACAGAGACGGAACCTCTCCATTCATGAGCACATGTCTATGGAATTGCTACGCGATGCGGGTGTAGCTGTGCCAAGATTCAAAGTTGCAAATACAGCAGATGAAGTGTTTAAAGATGCTCAAGAAATCGGTGAGTTGGATAATTTTAATAAATAAACTGTGTTCTGTACAGTCTAAGGTACACATGAAGGACTTGAAATCATTTATGAAGCATAACGGCCAATTTATGATTTCACCTCCCAGAGAAAAAAAATGGTCAGCATTCTAAATCCTCCTCCCTTGAAAAAAAAAGTTTTTCGGCTTTTAAAATCCTCTAAATTCCGCCCCGCTGAATCGTGTATCATACAAAGATCGTACATCGCATGGCGATAGAGGTCTAGACCAAGGCGTACGGAATTTTTTATTTTTTATTCTCCTTCCGGGTCGTAGGTTAACGGAAGTTTGAATAGCCTAATGACGGATAGAGGGAGCTGTTGATTCTGATTTTGAACCGCCTTCGAAGACTCTGTTGCATGCTGTTTGCTAGATTTAGATCTATGAGTCTGATATTTTCAAAATCATGGAGCTCAAGTAAGCTAAATCTAATCGCAAAGCGACGTTCTTGGCAAAATATTCCGAGGAGTTTCCTTTCATTTCTTTGTCAACTGTGTCGATTCACCATGTATTCTGCAAACGGTGCCGAAGCACCATAAAATAAATATTTCTTATGATGGTAGATCTAGCAGATATTCTGCGCCATTCCAAAACAAATGTGCATATATAGCCTATCAGGTCTGTCAAACGTGATTCAGATGGGATGCTAACGCTGCTACAAAATTAGCAGTAAAGCCACAATAAACTGCTTCACTGGACTGACTGAGAGGCATTAATAATAAGCTGTGAAATTAAGTCTAAAAGGTAAGCAGTACGGTGTAGTTACTGTATAGATCTATATATAAAAAAGGGAGGAGGCACTATCGCTGATCCTAACAGTGTGCGATTTTTTATGAAGTAGCGTCACGCGTTAAAGTGTTCTGTTTTTGCTTCCTGGAAAGTTGGCCGCAATGATGAAGATAGTCACTTCTTGTTTTGCAACAGATTGTTTTTTTAATCGTCATTAAGTACGGCTAGCCTCTTCCTTTTTTAATAGAAAGGAAAGCTCCATTTGGTTGTGGATGTGGGAACTGAAGAGTGTGTCGGTTGTGTCCTGGTTCCTGTTGATCTATTGATAAGGTTGATGATCTTTCCCTAGGCCATTATGGTGGGAATATCGTTCGTTTTATAGTTTTTGTAAATTTCCTTTTCTGACCCATCTGGTTAGGTTTCTATGTAGTTAACTAGTTGACTCCTCCCCCCCTTCCCCCAACTGTGGATAATTATAAATTATGATTTTACCCTTGTCCTTTCCTTTGTTTGTTTGGAATCAGTAATGCAGAGCTAAGAAGTAACACCATTTGTTTTTCTCCGATTTTTCTCACAGCTGACCTGACAGGCAATACTGATGTTGTGGTCAAAGCACAAGTATTGGCAGGTGGTCGGGGCAAAGGTCACTGGGACAGTGGACTTAAGGGTGGTGTGAAGCTGGTCTTCTCGTAAGTCTTTTTTTTTTGTGGTTGGCACACATAGAAAGAGGTTTTTGTCATTTCACAATAGCCTTTGTAATGAACGCACACATGCACCCACACACACACACTCACACACACACACACACACACACACACACACACACGCACACACACACGCACACACACCTGACCTTAAGTGATTTATCTGTACTGTGTTGTGTTTTACTTGTTTTAGGGTTGATACTGTCCTGACTTACTTTTCAATACTGTCCTAAATTTCTAAAGGCTGTAGCTTAGTCTCTGCTCTTTGGCCTCTCTTAGAAACCTTTGCATACATTTTCTTTCATTGTTTTGTTGTATAAATAGCTCTCTTTTGTTCTCTACTTCTCTGTGATGTCTACTGTCATATATTGTTGGTATTTTAAGATGTGTTATTTGATTTTTGCTTTTTGTCTGGTAGGGCTGATGAAGCAAAAGAACTAGGCAGTAAGATGATTGGTCATAAACTCTTCACGAAGCAAACAGGAACAGATGGTCGAATCTGCAATAAAGTGATGGTAGTGGAGAGGCTTTACATCAGAAGAGAGTTCTACTTTGCAATAACAATGGAAAGGAGTTTCGGGGTAAGTGCTTTTGTCACATTCAGTTGATGATAGCTCTGCTTTATGTAAATGGTTTATTTATTCTGTTTATGTCATAATTGTTGTTTTAGGTTTAAGTAGCAAAATCGTCAATTCCACTCACCGTAAGAATTATTCAAAGTAGCAGTCAGTAAAAAAAAAAAAAAAAAATGTGCAAGCAGCTGTTGACTCATGCCATAAAAATCAATAAGCATGCCGTGCTCGTTCTTTTAATTCACATGTTGCATATATATTTTTGGGTATTATTTTTTTAAGTTTCATGCAAATGAAGAGAATTGTTTTGTTAAGCCTCTTATGGTTTTCTGTTGATGAAATTTTGTCAGATCAACCTTCTGAAGTGAATGGCTGAGTCATTTTTTTAGTTATTGCTGAAAAAGGAAAGATAAGACATTATTAAGCTCCTGGCTTTATAATTATAGATAATTATTTGCCATTTCCATTTTGAAAATCTCTGTTAAATGAACTTGATGAAGTTTATTCTTGCACACATGGTAAGAATGATACTGAGAGGTGTTATGCGAGTTAATGTTAACCCACTGGAAGTTTGTGTGAAAGTACTTGACCTTAGTTTTGTTGTGGTTGTGAAAAGCATTGCAAGATACCAGATTTAGAGTGATGTTTATTAAATGTTCTTTTTTCCTCCCCCACTTTCCCTCATGACAGGGTCCAGTGCTGGTAGGAAGTAGTCAAGGTGGGGTCAATATAGAGGAAGTGGCTGCTGAGAATCCTAATGCTATAATTAAGGAACCAATTGATATTGCTGCGGGAATCACAAAGGACCAGGCACTGTATGTTGCTAAAGAGATGGGCTTCAGTCAAGGATCTTTGGACAAGGTGACTGTTCCATTCTTTTCTCTGCTTCTCTCCCCCCACACACACTCACACCCACACACACACGCACGCATGCACACACACACACACGCACACACACACAAATTCACACACACACACACACAAATTCACACACACACACACACACCCACGCAAACACACACACATACACACACGCACGCACGCACGCAGGCACGCATGCGCACACACACACACACACACACACACATACACACATGGATAAGTCTATGCTGTTTAGTTTGATTGAGAAAACATGCTATTAATTGTCGCCTCTTTCCCTTGGTGACATTGAACAATCAGTGTATTCATTTTAGGATGAATTTGAAAAAGTGGCAAGGGGAGGATGACGGAGTCAGAATTTATTTAAGATACATGCATCGTAAATACCTGTTTCATTTACTGTTTGTAAACATTTTTCCTTGATTAATCTGACTTTCAGTAAGTTGAGTTAACAGGCTACATATATTCGCTACCCTGCAAGGAAAATGATCACTTCAAATGTTTCATTCCTTTTTGAGCGAGGTCATGGAAAGTCTCTTTTTCTCATGAAAAAGCTATGAGCATGTGAAAACAATCTTTATGGTTGTAAAAGGCACCACGAATTTTGTACTGGTTGAATGCCCCATTGAAGATTTATGGGTTTGTATCATCTGGCAGTTATTTTGTCTTCCGTCTCCAGTGAAGCTTTTGAAATATTCTCCTTTCGAATCGAGCTGTCAGCCATTATGAAGTTTTAGGTTTTGGTGTATAGCGAGAGTGATCTGCTTGTGCTGGTTTGATGATTGTATACTTTGAATGTATATATGTTAGGCATGCTGATAAAATGAGTTACTTTTCGGGTTTTAGGCCATCGAGTATTGGTGGAGTTTTTACATTGTATTAGAATGAAATGATAAAAATAAGACATTCCTCAACTTGAAAACAATGACATGAGTTGAAAAGTTACAAATTTGACCCATGTGTCAATTTTTGGCCAATGTCTCACTTCACAAATTGTGAAAAGTAACTCATTTTGTCATCACGCTTGACATATGTTCAATGTTCTCTTTAACTTTGGCACTGATCTCTTGTATGTTCATTTAGTCCTTTTCCTTTTTTTTTTCTTTTTTTCTTTTTTTTTTTTGGGGGGGGTTCCTTGTCCATTTCTATGATATTGACACCATCTGATTAGTAGAAAAATGTGCGTATAAGAGTGCCCAATAATGTATAACGTACAAAATTGTTGCGACATATAACTGTTACATTTAGATGTTTAAGATATATTATAGATGTTTGTGAAGGATCTGAGAGCAATGATGACTTTAGAAACGGTGGTGATGGTGGTGGTAAATGATGATGTGGGATGGTGCTTATGGTTATAATTATTAAGAAGACATGCTTCTGTTATTTGGTTGTTGTTGTTTTTAAAAATAATGTCAGCGTTCGTCCTATCTTCCTCTGTTCTGATGAGTCACGAGGGATGTGGGCACCCGCTATCCCGTTCCCTACTGGAACCATCTTTAATGTCACCGTGAAGTTCCGAAATGGTGGGCAGTCTCTGCTATGGTGACCTTGTTAGTATTAGCCTATTCTAGTGGGCCAAGACAAGTGAAGCGAGGACCTTAGTAGGTAGCTAGTACAGTGGCAGATATTATTTTGGGGGGGGATTTCGTAAGGGGTTTGCAGGTAGCAAGTTCACAATTGGGTTATAGATTTTCCAATCCCTTACCTTTAGAAATAATTTGTTGACCATCCTTTTTCTTTCTGTTTCCCTTTTAGGCTAGCGACTATATCATGAAAATGTACACCGATATCTTCCTGAAATACGATGCCTCTATGGTGGAAATTAACCCAATGACAGAAGATAACCTCGGCAATGGTGAGTGTGTACATGTTTGTAGTGAGCTTGTGTGTACAGCCGTGTGCGTGTGTGTGAATTTAGGTGTGTTTGCTCTCTCCAAATTGTGTGAGTTTGTGGTGGGTGCTGATACTTGTGCAGAATTTAATATTCGTTTGTGTGGGAATGTGTGAGAGCATATTGACAGCTTAGTGGGTGGTTGGCGGGTGCTCTGGTGTGGTTTGCTCCTTCTTTCCTATCAAACATCTATCGTCCTTCTCTTCCTTTCTTCTTTTTTATGTTTGTTACTCTCTTGTAACACCTCTAATCATCTGACGCTCATATGACCTTATGCAGTTGCGAGTGCCGTAAAACCTCAGCTTAGTGTAAAACTCTGACATATGCCCCTTTTCAAAATGACGTTTGACAGAGTCTTCCAGTAATGTGTGTGTATGGCTGTATTCTTCTGATTGTTTGTGTAGCTTTGATTGCGGGGTGAGGTGTGCGTGGACTTAAAAGGGGGGGGGGGGGGGGTGTCAACTGCTTTTTATAAACACTGTGAATTTTGTCTTTGTCATTGACTGCATGTGGGTCAAGTTGAACATTAGTTCTTTAAAGCGGTTCATTTAATGTTCAAAATGAGGTTGGTGAGAGTAGTCTGTGGTGTGGCTGATTTTGTAACTTAACACTCAAAGAGTTACTCATGTGTGTGGATTCTACATGACAGTTTGATATATTTATTTGCCATAAAATGTGTCATATATTCCTCCTGGAACATCTCATTTTTCACCCCTGTATTTGTTTTATGCTTACTATAGTCGCAGGCTTTTACCACATTGTGCGTGTTCAGTTTCAGTTTGGCAAATAATTAATCCGTTTTCTACAAAGGTGGCACCTTATGTAGGTTGATACTAGAGTAGTATATTATTGTTGAAAGAAAATATATTTACTTTTTTTGTCAGGACTTCACCTCTGCAGTATATTTTCAGTTGTGGGTGAACATATTTAGGTCAGACCCAATATAAATTCCACTGCCAACTGTATAAATTATAATCTTAATTTTAAATAGAGCAATGAAGCTGCACTTATGAATCATTTTCTGTCCCCATGCCTGCCTTCTGCTTCACATCTTGTTCCATTGTTTTGAATTTTTAAAAAATCTTATCAAGTCCGGACTACTGTTTTTAACTCTGACCCACCTAGAGATATCAATTTCTGATTGGATTTAAATTCTTTTTTTTTATTTTTGTTTTACCTATGACAGTTTCTGTACTGTTATCTATAATAATTCTGTTAATGGTATTAGTTGTCTTGTGTCTTCTGGGGCCATTTTATTTAAAATGGATGACGATATATAAATGTCACAACATGGTGGAATCAGGTCCTTGTCCATTTTGGGGCATTTAGAGTTATTGGCTTACTCCCTATTCTTGTTCATCTGCCTTGCTTTTGATGAAAAAAAAAACCCTTTTATCTTGAATAGATGTCGAAATATTTGTTATAATTGAAGGAGGTTAGGTTGCTTGGTGCGAGAGGTAAAATTTATGAAAACATGACGCCAAAGTATGGCGACTCCCAAAGCAATAGTGTCCTTTGAAAGAGCAAATTCACATTTTTTGTACCTGTGATTGTTATTCAGTAAAATTTTCATTATTTTACCTTTAAATGGATATAAAGGTGTTTGAGCCCCTAACGAAACAAGTGGGTGGTTGGCAGGTGCTCTGGTGCGGTTTGCTCCTTCTTTCCTATCAAACATCTATCGTCCTTATCTCCCATTCTTCTTTTTTATATTTGTTACCCTCTTGTAACACTTCTAATCTTCTGGCACTCATATGACCTTATGCAGTTGCGGGCGTCTTAAAACTCTTACTAAACTAAAAAAAAAAATTAAAACAAAACAAAGTCGATACGGGCGGAACAATGTTGGTTTCTTTGATTTCATTATTTTGACCAGCGTCTGATTCCACCACGCTTTCTCGCATATTGTCTGTGGTGGTCTCCAAGTTAAGGGATTTTGCAAAAGCAGCTGCAAGGCTGGAAATCTTATTTGTCCTAGACGCCGTTCCTGTTAAGGCTTGGTTAATGGTTAGACTTTGACTGTCAGACTTATCTGTCAAGTGAATTAACATCTGGATTGTTTCGATGGTGAGTTATGATAATAATAATGTAGTTAATCTTTATAATGCCTTCTCCCATATATATGCTCAAAGCTCAAGGGGCTTTACAGAAATCCAAATGCTAAGAACAATAAATATGATAGAGTCAATATTTTCTGACATAAACACACAGAAAAAGTTATACATGTAACACACACACACACGTACATGCACACACACACACACACACACTCTCTCTCTCTCTTTCTCTCTCTCTCTCTCTCTCTCTCTCTCTCTCTCTCTCTCTCTCTCTCTCTGTATCTCTCTCTCTCTCTCTCTCTATCTCTTTCTTTCTTTCTCTCTCACTCACTCACCCACCTACACCCCTTCTCTCTCATCACATACGTACGCATGTAGTGAAGGAACTCTTAATACACCTTCCCCTTCCCCCCTGACAGAGTGTTTTGCTTGAGGAAGTGCAGTTATATACTTTGGTCTCCTTTTTAAGAATTTGGTTTTTACTATTCTGCACTTTCATAACAGTGACTATGCACATGTTCACCTAGTCACACTCGTCTTTTATTGATAGACTTTCTGGTCCAGATTATGGGGGTGGGTGGTTGGCGGGTGCTCTGATGTGGTTTGCTTTTTCTTTCCTGTCAATCATCTGTCGTCTTTATCTCCCCTCCTTTTTTGTGTTTTTTACTCCCTTATGACTCCTCTTATATGACCTTATTGTGTTGCAAGCGCCTTTAAACCCTTACTAAAACTAAAACCAGATTATGGGCATCTGTGGTGTTGGTGTTAGGCTCTTTGCCATTGGTTTGTTTGTTTGGTAGAGTAAACAGAATCATATCGACACAATACTGGTAATTTAGTACTGGGAAAAGGTAAGTTCGTTTGAGTAAAGAGAAGCACATTGACACTATCATGAACAATAAGTGCTGGGAAAAAATAAGACAAACAGACAGAAACAACTGAGGGAAAGTAAAGTAGTAGGATCTACCAGTGGGGCCCTCCAACCACCCGTTTCGCCATTGGGCGCAGAAGGAGTGAATTTAATTTTGGAGTCGGGGAGTTTTTGTAGTCTTCACCACTGTATGTAGATACTTCGTGTCCCATTCTTCAGCTTAGGTTGGCACGGACAGGAAGGTTCCAAGAAACTCAGCATCTGTATTGTGTCGATAGGGACGTAAAACTTGTGCAATAAATGGTACTAGCTGGGCCCCCTTTCGATGAAAGGGATGATTGGTGCATTGACATCAACTGAAAGTCATTGGCCTACTATATTTACACTCTACTGGAATGGGGCAATAGATCTTGAGAGATGCAAAAAATTAAAAGGTCTAGATCTATAATCTCAAAACAAAATGCGCCTCGAGAAATATCACTTCCGGTTTCTCTAAAATTACAGAGATGAAGCGTCGGCCTACAAAAGTGATCGGCGAAATAAAGAAATTTATCTTTTTGCAGCAAAACTGTCTCAAAACTGAAAAAACCAAGGGCGCCATGATCTGGAGAATATTTTAAAGAATTTTTTTTGCGAAAACTGAATGTCGATCAGTGCAGCCAATAAAAAGCCTTTTGAATAGCAAAATTCGGCCACCACAAATAGATAATAGAATAGTAAATTTAGTGTCCTCTACGTATATCAAGGGCCATTACTCTGTTTTGGATCACTTTTATAAATCCCTCTCTCATTAGTTACCAAGGTACAGGGTAATTTCTCGCAACATTGGGAAAATGGTTTTTATTTGAACTATGCTATTGGTTTCTTTATGAGAAATGCATTCTTATTAATTGTCCCGAATTTCCGAGGAATTTCATGGATTTGGCAAATCGGATTATAGAGCCTTTTCTTGTGCACTAACCCAAAACTCATTCCACTTGGTGTGGTTTTGTTTGTTTTTCAGTAATTTGATGTTGGAACATTAGGTGTTCTTGATTGGGTTTGGAAAAAGTTGGCTTGTCTGAAATTGTGTGGGGGTGGTTGGTGGGTACTTTGTTGTGGTGTGCACCTTTTTTCATATCAAATATCTGTCGTCCTGATCTCACTTCATTTTTTTATGTTTGTTACTCTCTTGTAACACTTCTAGTCTTCAGCTATTTGGCTCAGTCCTTTTTTGAATAGAGGCTAAACTTGGAGGTCTTTGTCTCCCCTCCTTTTTTGTGTTTGTTACTCTCTTGTAACACCTCTAATCTTCAGCACTTATATGACCTTATTGTGTTGCAAGTGTCGTAAAAAACTTACTAACACTAAAAAACTTGGAGGTCCCACCTCTTAAGTAACCTACTAGTGTTAATACCGGCGGTTAACCTATACTATTTAACCATTTTATATTTACTTATTTCAGCATTGTTATATATGACCATATATTGTGTTGCAAGTGCAGTAAGAATCTTATTTTTTTTAAACTGACAATACCACTTTCTAGTCGAACTGCCTTGAAATCAGTAACCAAACCTTTTTTTTTTTTTTTGTTACATCAACAGTGTACTGCATGGATGCCAAGATCAACTTCGATGACAACGCATTCTACCGTCAAAAGGACATCTTCAGCAAGAGAGACTGGAGCCAGGAGGATGAGCGAGACCACCGTGCCTCAGAGGCTGACCTCAACTACATTGCCTTGGACGGCAGTATTGGCTGTCTTGGTATGTCTAACCGGTTGTTTTTGTCCTCAGTTGTTTATTTATATATTGTTTTAAACCTTTATTTTCATACAGATTGATTTATGTTCTCTGTTCTTTTTTGGCCTTATTTTAGTGAAGGTATTTGTATGATCTGCTGGGTTTTGGGGAGTTTATTTTTGGCCTTTAATTTTGTATAGATAGTTTTATGTTGTCAGTTTTTTGCCAATATATTTGTTGGATTATTTTATCGTCACAGTTTTTTTGTTAATTATTTTTGTACTTTTGTGATGGTTGTATCACTTGTCTTAGCACGTCATGGGTTAATTTTGTCTAGACATTGTTTTTATGAACTCTGTTGTGCTTTTGTCATGACAAGTTCTGTTGTCCCAATGTTTAACTGTTGTTTTAAAATTATTTTTGTTGATATAAGTTTGTTATGCATTCACTGTGTTTTCTTAGATGCGGTGCATTTCTGTCATTCTGTTTTGCCTTTTCTGAGCACTTTATGACCGATGTTATTTCAAATGAATGATAGAACAAACAATCATGCCACCAAAGTGTCAAATGCGTAGCTTACAAATGGTTTGATGATATGCAGTCTGATACTTGCTTGTAGGCCCTCCCCACCTAGTGTGTGATGTAAGATCAGTTGGACGTGGAGTTCACACCTTGGTGCGATCCCGTCTGGGGCAAACATTGTAACCATTTATCGCGATTTACAACAGAAGTGTAATTGCGTTCACGAGAGTGGATAATCTGTGATGGGACGGACCGTACAATGATGGCACATTTTCGCTACTTGGTTGATCAGCTGAGCACGCTCAGGTTTCTTACAATTCTTTTTTTACCCCAACTAAATTATGACCTGAAAAGGGGTTCTGACCAGAGTGTAGCTCCTTTAGTGCGGGTCAGAGCAGAATTTTAGGTTGGCGGGTGCTCTGGTGTGGTTTGCTTCTTCTTTCCTATCAAACATCTATCGTCCTCATCTCCCCTTCTTCTTTTTTATGTTTGTTACTCTCTTGTAACACCTCTAATCTTCTCACCCCGCGGGGCGGTGCCACTGACTGAAGTGTCTTTAGGCCATTCCCAAAGGGGGGACATTTCTCGTTCATGCACAGCACAGTAAAATTGTAAATGGGCCGATTCATCAATGTCATGCTCATAACTATGCTTGATCGACAACAGAGAACTGCTGCTTTTTCTTTCCTAATCCTTACTTTTGTCATTTTCCTCTACTTCTTTTGTATGTTTGTCACACTCTTGTGGCCCACTATTTTCGGGGTGCCTTGATAGTCGAAGTAGACTTTGTGCTGTTAAAGCTAGAGAGGTGAGCAGAGTAAGTCTGATTCCTTGTAAGGACTTCTCTGTTGACATCCACCCCTTGGCACTCATATGACCTTATGCAGTTGCGAGCGCCGTAAAACCTCTACTGAAACTAAACTAACTAAAAAGGATCTTAGGAGTGACTTGTATTTAGTAAAAATTCTGTTTTTCCAAAACGACGGGATCTTAGGTGTACCGGGACCATAAGCGGTGGGATCTGAGGGGGAAAATTCTGTATAACTCTTCACACTTGTTCCTTTGGGGTTTTTTTTTCATGTTTAGCTTAAAGAGAAGCACATCCACTTTTGTCCTTTGTTTGTTTGAGTAAAGAGAAAGTTGGGGGTTGGCGAGTGCTCTTGTATGGTTTGCTCCTTCTTTGTAATCAAACATCTATCATCCTTATCTCTCCTCCTTCTGTTCTTTGTCTATTACTCTCTAGTAACACTTCCTCGGCACTTGCATGACCTATTTGTGTTGCAAATGCCATAAAGCCGTAAAACTTGTACTAAATTTAAATTAAATCTTTGAGGAAAGAGAAACACACTAACCCAATGTGGGTGGTTGGCGGGTGCTCTGGTGTGGTTTGCTTCTTTCTTTCCTATCAAACATCTATCATCCTTATCTCCCCTACTTCTTTTTTATTTTTGTTACTCTCTTGTAACACCTCTAGTCTTCTGGCGCTCATATGACCTTATGCAGTTGCGAGCGCCGTAAAACACTTAATAAAACAAACAGTAACCCAATAACGATCAATTAGGGCGGGGTCCAAGTTTTTGTTGCAACTTCTGAACTGTTGTCCTTTTTTTGTTGTGTCCAGTAAACGGAGCTGGCCTGGCCATGGCTACCATGGACATCATCAAGCTCCACGGGGGAACCCCGGCCAACTTCCTGGACGTAGGGGGCGGGGCCACGGCCCAGCAGGTCACAGAGGCCTTCAAGCTCATCACCTCCGACACCAACGTGAGTTCTCTTCTTCTTTGGCAACATGCTTTTGTGCATTTGTGTTGGAATTTATTTCTTTTGGAGGGGAGGGGGGCTGAAAAGAAGAGGGGAGAAGTTTGGATAGAAGGGGGGTGAACTTTACTTTTTGTTGAATTTGGTTTCTTTCTCTGTGAGTTTATAATTGTTCACCACCCTGGTGTTGTCTGCTTTTTCTACTTCTTTTATATGTTGTTTTTGTATCTAATTAAATGATGCGGCTGTTATTAAGCTGAATGAACATAAGGTGCAACCTCCCCCCCCCCAAAAAAAAAAAATTTAAATAACCACAATGCAGAACTACTGAGGTGCCTGTGTCCGTTGTGTAGTGGCTGGGCTCTTTACCGTCACATGCAGAAGACGTGAGGTCAATTCCTGCATGAGGAAGTCTGTGTTTGTTGAATATTTCCGTCTGTCTGCTGGGATGCTGTATCACGTTTAGCTGGGTCAAAGGAGGCCCACTCTTAAAGGATCTCCAATTTTGTGGGTGGTGGTGTAAAATAACTACAATTTTTATTTGTTAGGCATGCTGAAAAAATGAGTTATTTCTCGGAAATTTGCCTTGTGGAAGCAGATGCTTCAAACTTATAAGATGAGTTTGTAGAATTTATTAGTATGAAATAATAGAAGACATTTTAAAGTGAAGAATATCGCAGCGATTAAAAATCTACAAATTTGACATCAGTGTTGATTTTCTGCAGATATCTCCATTTGTGGATGACGAGAAGTAACTGTGTCAGCACGCCTCACGTTTTTTTTTTCTCCCTCTGTCTCTTTCTGACTGTCTTTGTCTCTCTCCCTTTTCCTCTCCCTCCCCCGTTCCCTTTCCCCTTTCTCACTGCATATGAATAAATGTAAATCCCGTGGTGTTCCTGCCTCAGGTGAATGCTATCCTGGTCAACATTTTCGGTGGAATCATGCGCTGTGACGTCATTGCACAAGGAATTGTTGCCGCCGCCGAGCAGCTGTCCCTCAGAGTGCCTATTGTCGTCCGACTTCAAGGTCAGTACAGTAACCAGTTGATGCTAGATGTCATTACAGGCATAATTACGGCAGTAATTTTTTGTTTTGTTTTGGGAAAGCTTAAAAAGAAAATAATGCTAGCCTGTGTCAACTTTATGACTTAAGCTTAAATGAAAATGTTCTCAGTGTTCTTATTTTTTGTATGTTAAATAAAACCTTGCTGTACTGAGGATAAATTAGTAACAGACAACAGGCATTTTCCTGTGAATATATAAGTACCAGCCACTCTATTTGGTACAATTTTAGTTCAAACAAACATGCACCGAGCAAACAGCATCTATTTAGTGAATGTTTGGAGACTTTGGACTAGATGTACAGAGTTACACAGATTTATTTTAAAGCATTTTTTAAAACGAATTTGCAAATGATATGATGTGGCTTCCCTTTTTTTTTTGTCGAACGTGTATCGTCTTTTCCCTCTTCCATCTTTTTATGCTACTCTCTAGTAACACCTCTAATCTTTGACACTAATAATATGACCTGTCAATGTCATAAGGGAAGGATGTCTATTACGACTATTTTAAAAAACTCTTCTTTTCTATTCTATTACTCTCTGGTAACAGCTCTAATCCTTATATGACCTACCGTATATGTGTTTGCTAGTGCCGTAATACTTTTACTGTTAGTGGTTGGCTGATGCTCTGGTGTGTTTTGCTTCTTCTTTTCTATCAAACATCTATCATTCCTGACCTCTCCCCCTCCTTTTTGTGTTGGTTATTCACTTGTAACACCTCTAATCTCCGGCACTTATATGACCCTTATTGTGTTGCAAGTTCCGTAAAACTTTTTCTAAATCAAAAAACTCTGTGGGTTCCCAGGTACTCGTGTGGATGACGCTAAAGCTATCATTGCCCACAGTGGGATGAAGATCTTGGCCTGTGATAACCTGGACGAGGCAGCCAACATGGTGAGTGATACATAGACGGGGAAAGACCTTGGCACTTTGTTAGCGTTTGAACGATGAATCAGCTGATTGAAGTGTACGCTTCCCAGGAAGCTGAGAATGTTTCTGAATAGTTTAGGGTCTGTTGGGGTAATGTTTTATGTTGTGAGGCACATACAGCTTTCTGTTGAATGGAGATATGCACTATGCAGATGCTGTTTATTATTATTATTATTATTAATATTATTATACAAGTACATGCATTCTGCTGCCTAGTAATAGTAAAGTGTAAAGTATAGACACTATCCCCCACCCCCCTGCCTTCTTCACACATCACAAAGATTACAGCCCGCTATTTCCTGTTGCTGTAAGTGTGTGGTTGGCAGCTTCTCTGGTGTCATTTACCCTTTCTTTCCCATCAAACATGTATTTTCGTTATCGTTCCTCCTTAATTTTTGTGCGTATTCCACTCTTGTAACATCTCTAATCTTCAGCACTCATATGACCTAATTGTGTTGCAAGTGCAGTGAAACTCTTATTAAAACAAAATAAATGTTTCTGTGAGATACGTATCTGCAACCTCCACTTTTACCTCAGATGGGTGAACGAGGTCAAACACATTCAAGAGGGGGTGGGACAGGTTCATTTTTACTTTTAACTTTTTTATTTTGTTTTTAGGTGAATTTACTACGACTTCTAAGCTTGCACGTACTCGAGCTGACATTGGCTAACATCTGTGGTGTAGTGGTTATGCCCTTCACTGTGAGGTCGATTCTCATTTAAGGAAGTGTATTTTATGGGGGTTTCTTTCTGAGATGTTGAATCCCTCTCAACCCGAGTTATCCCTGATGGGCAGGGTGGTAGCAGCTTGCCCCTGAAATGATTTTTATTGACATGAAACATTTGTATTTGCTATTAGTCAAGCAGGCATTTGTGATCCAACATGGGGACTCTGTGAGAGACACATCTCTGGTTGACCACTTTCATTTTGTTTCCTGGTGTATTTGCTTGCTTTATATGATGTGATAATAATGGTTGTATCTTAAATTCCAAAGTTGGTGAAATAATTTTACCACTACTACTGAGTTGTATTAAATAAATGGCCCTGAATATGAAGCGTGTGGTCTTACTCATTTCAGACTCCTCCCATAAGTGTATATCAACTGCTAGTATTAGACTCTGCCATATGCTATTATGAAAAGAGACGTATAACAGAGTCCTGCACGTAGCCGTCGATATGTCTTGTAGCATATTTTATGGGTGGGTAATGGCATCAAATACAGAATGATAAAAATTGAGTTTTAATTTTATTCTCATTAATTTTGTTTCCCGTGTGTCCAGGTGGTGAAGCTGTCCAACATTGTGACTCTAGCGAAGGAAGCCTCGGTGGACGTGAAATTCGAACTGCCTCTGTAAACATCTTGTTGTGTGACTTTTTCTGTACTGTGTAATCATTATACTTTAGTTGTTTTTTCTTTTTTTTTAAGTCTCTAAATCTCTTCAGTACTGTTGGCGGAAAAGCATCTCTTTGTTTTAACTTCCAGTATGTATTCGTGAAGGGAATAAAAAGATATGCTTTTTTTTTCTTGTACTGTGGAGAAAAACAACTATCTCTCTTCTGCTGTTTTTCTGTACATAGCCGCATAGATTCTAAAGTAACATAGCTAGAGCTACAATATATTATAATTTTTTTTTCCCTCATATAATTTGTGATATATAATGCATCGCCGCCTTTGGGGGACAGAAAGTAATACGCTAGACTGTGAGCTCAATATTTTTAACCAACACTTTTTTTTTGTTTGTTTACTAATTTATAGACAGATTAATGAGAACTTGTGCATTTTAAGACAGTGGATGTTGTATGTTTGCAGAAGGGCATGACTCCCGCAGCAGCTGTGCATTGGGCTGTGAAAGTACCAAAAGGCAATAATTCTTTCCCTCCATTTATTTTCCTCCCTTCCTCTCTGCATCCTCTACATATAGCCAGATTTGATTTTTTTATTAATGGATCTTCTTCATAATTTTGTCCAAGTTTATCATGTGAACTTTAAACTTGACATGAATTTGAGAAATTTGCATAATCAAGAGTGCAAGATGTCTTTTTCCCTGTACTTTCGTAATTGCACGTAACCGAAGAATTTGAATTTTCCTCTTTTTTTTAAAAAAAGTATTCTTTTATGGAATGGTGGGTCGGAGGAAGGAAAGTGTTGGGGTTTTTTTGTAAAAAGCAAAAGGTCCTCGTAAAAAAAATTTTTTTAGCTTTTGTGCAAACTGTTTTGATTCCACCTCTACTTCATGTGTGCTCAAATTCTTGTGGCTTGTTCAAAATTGTGCATAAGTTCTGATGAAATGTGTCTTTTTACCAATGCTGCATGCAGCCTCCCCTCCCACCACCAGCATCTCTGACAACACTACTTATCTCAACTAATGTTGTCTTCATGCTCTCAGTACAAGTTTGTGCTTCGTCTCCCTCCACCGACTCCCCACCTCTTTCACTCACTGTAGTGTATATCTCCTTCTCCTTGTCCCTCTCTTTCACTCACTGTTTCTCTCCTTCTCCTTCTCTGTCACTCACTTGTACCCCACAAGTGTCTGGTGGACAGGTGTAGGCTTCTGTCATCTTGCACTGCATGGCATATGGAGATGTTTTAATAGGCTGAACAGGTTTTTTCTCATAGTTGAATTCATTATATTGGATGTAGGCATTGTGTTTAAATCCGTGCTGTTTCTGTTGTCCTGTATCCTATTTTTGAATGATTTGTGGTTTAATTTTGTGGACTTTTTTTTTCTGCATCATTGCATCACATTGCATTAAGTTATCAAAAGTGGGGAGGATTAAGATGCCGTATCCACTCTACTCTGTCAAGCTTCAAATGTTATTATTTATTCTATTTAAGAATTCAGATTGGGGTTTAAAAGTGGACAGTATGGACTTTGACAATGGCAACTAAAGTGACTTGACTGAAATGTGATATAAGTTGCAGTGTACATTAGCAAACATAAGTGGTCAAGTTTTGCTCTAGCACGGAGTTATTTCATCCAGTGGCTATGATGTGTTGGTGCAGGAACTACACTCACTCTCGAGCTTGTGCAGGTTTTGTCAGATAGAAGCTGTCTCTTCTCTTTTTCATCCTAAAAGTTTCGTCTTTCATTCTATCCTAGTGGTGATTCTTTTTCTTCTCATTCTTCTCTAACCGAATATCTCAGCCTCTAGTGCAAAGGCTGTTGTTTGCCACAGGTCCTCCAATGGGTCTCTTTGCCTTAGGTTGGGCCAATATTACCATCTTACTGCCTTGTGCATTGGGTACGCTTTTGGAGATTGATTTTCCCTATTATTAGATACTATGTACTGTTCTACACACGTAAATTCTGTTCTTAAAGAAATGAGGGAAAATATCTTGGAAAATGGTTTGAAAATCGGAAAAGAAAGAGATTTAGACAGTTCCCGAACATAGTCAGCTTTTTAAAATGGTTATGGTTAAGGCTATTCTTGGTAGGCAATAATTCCATATATAATGATGTTCTGCGGAAGTAGAGTTACTGTGTGTTTTTGAAAGAAAGTGTTGAGTCGGTTATGTTTTCTGTCCGAGTATTGCTTTTAGCGCAATTCATTCCTGGCAAAATACTTGTCTTTCTGTTTCCCTCCTGTTGGGCGTAAACTACAACTGAAGAGTTACGTTAGAAGACGCTGCAGGGACTTTTGGTTTGGTCTCTTCCTGAACCACTTTCTTCTTGTGTTGTGAATTGTTAGTGTCGGGTAGTTGTCTTTGACTTCAGAAATGGACTGCTTCAAGAATATTGCTTCTGTTTTGGTTTTTGTCTGGGCTCTCGGATTTTGCTTTTGTAGTGCAGTGAATCTGGGTGTGCAAAAGGCTGATTAAAGACTCTCTAGAGTTCTTGAGCTGTTATTATTTTGTTCTTTATCACATTGATGAAATTGTCTTGCACTTCAATGGGCACGTGCTGTGGTGCGGTGTCTGTGTTGAATGTTTCGCCCCTTCTACCTCTTTTTTGCTGCTACTATTGTCCAGGGTTTTTTTCCTGGCAGGATGTAGCTGCTGTCGTTTGTTGGCTGACTTGCCGTACTCTCTGTAGTGTTTGGCCGAAGCAGGTTTCCGCTTGTAGCCTAGTGTTGACAGGTGGTCACGCTTGCCAGTTTGATGAAGAGACTGTCCTTTGGTTTTCCTGTCTGTGGTGTGAGTCTTTTTCCCTGTGGCATGCTGAGGAAATCAATTCAATGCCAGAGTAGGGGGGGGGGGGGGGTTATATTTATTTGTTATATCTCCAACCATCTTCTGGGAAAGTGTACTTCGCTCTGACTCAGCTTGGGTTTGTCCTTACGGATGGGAACAAAGCTGCCTACCTCCTCCTAAATTATCTAAATTGTGCCGTTGGTTTGTAAAACTATTACGATCACTCACAATTACAATTTTTTACTGTGTTCTAGACGTTGTGTCCCTTTTGTGAAAACACCTAGTGAGGGACTGTAGTAGATTGTGGTACAGAATGGACCTTGGCTTGTTCCTCTTTGTCGTTGAGTGAGTCTGGAATGTGTGCACAAAGAAATGTGGGTGGTAGAACAAAAAAAGTTTTTTTTTGGTCAGGTTTGGGATTTTAAAAAAAAAGATTAAGTAGTAATTTGAAGGGACATTGCAAGTGGTATATGTATGTGCTTGTTTTCTCATTACTTGTACTACTTTTTATCAGTTGTCACATCTTTCACTTAATCTGTCCAGTTTATTACAGGACTCCATAGCTAGTCAGATCTAGACAAGGCCATCGTGTGGTTCACTCCTCATCTTCTTTGTGTAATTTGTTTAGATTAAGTGGCCAACAACATATTTTTCATGTGATTGCGAGCCCTAGAGTGGTTGAGGAGGGGGGGGGGGTGTCCCAGCTCATTTTTGGAAAGATACTACCTGAGGTGTTGTGTGCTGTCAGGTCAGTGAGTGACGGTGATGTGGCATGTATACCTGTGATTTTTAAAGGCTGGTTTTTTTTGTGTGTGTATGTGTATGTGGTTTGGTGGGGGTAGTGGGGGTGCTCTGGTGTGGTATTCTCCTTTTTTCCCCATGAAACATCTATCATCATTATGTATCTCTCCTCCTTCTTTTATGTGTTTGTTACTCTCTTGTGACACCTCTAATCTTTGATTTGCAAATGCTGTAAAACTCATACTAAAACAAAAGTCTGTTTGTGGTTTTTTGGGGTTGGGGTTTTTTGTTTTTGTTTCCGGAGTGTCCTATTTTATTTTGGTTCTCTGTTGTATTGTTTTTCTAGTGCTCATTTTGTGATTCAGTTGCTTTCTTTATTTTTCATTTGAATATTGTGTGCTGTGTAAGGCTTTTGTGGGACAGGTGTGTACAATTTGTGAAGAACGTGTGTGGTGATATGGGATTGTGCACCACTAGGAACAAAGGTACTGCCGTCTTTGTTTTCAAATTTACTCTGGGTAGTGGTGATGTTATGATAGTTGGGTGGTGGAAAGAGGCTCCAATCTTACGGATTGTCTGAGAATATTTCATGTGCGTACACTTGCTTGTTTTGTTTTTTTGTCTCTACTCTGAAGTTGTAGCAGAGAAGCAAGAAATGGTTGTTTTGACATCCTGGTTTAAGGGAACAGTATATGACGTCAGAATAATTTATTAGTAGTCAGCAACTTAACGTTAAAGTTTGCCTGTGTAGATTGCAGTGTGTTGCTTAAAAGAGAGAGAGAGAGAGATCAGTCTAAAAGGGGTACAAGTACACAAGTTAAGGATATCTTGTTTGTGTAGGTATGTTGTGGTAATTCTACTCTGTGCTGTAGGAAGTATAAGATATTATCCAGTGTCTCCATCCCTCTTCTCTATCTTATTTCGAAGTAAATGGACTGCTGTATTTGAGGTAGAAGTATATTTTTGTAAAGAAAAATAATTGGCTCTATATGAATGTAAGTGAGAGTTAAAAGAATCCTGTCTGAGTCTCCTTGGGGTGGGAACCTACGAGTAAGCGAATCCCAAGGTGCAGGATTTGTCATATGTTGGTTACAGCAACTCCCTACGACTTCTTTAATTTTACTTAAGGATTGGGGAGGGGGGGGGGGGGGG